GGTATTGAAGGACAGGGGGAGGCTGCATGCGTGAGTGTGAGATGAGTATACTCTGTGAACTCTGCTGCCTCTCGATTCATCTCTCTAGACTCCATCCACCAGTGTTAGAGGTCAGGTTCTCAAAGCAACTTTCGGTGATGCTGTGTGAATATTAATGGCCAACTATTAGTTACCTGGCCATGAGCATATTTCCTCGTTCGGTATTTCCTTAGTCATGATATATTCCCGAGTCTATGTTTAGATAGTAAATACATGAATAAAACAATATCCCTCAAGGATATGTAAGACAATACACATTTTACACATTGTCCATAATATATTGTGTCCTTATTTTGCCTTTATATATATTCATAAATCACTCGTAAGTCTTAGGGAAAGATCGCCAGTCATGAAGCAGTCAATGACATCAAGAAACTTTTGGCAACAACTAAGTGACCAGCACAAAAGGAACCTCAAATGTGCAGACCTGACAATAGTCACCAAAGCCCAGATGGAGTCACCCTGCAGCCATGGAGGGATGATAAATAGGTTGTAATTACCTAAGTATAATTACATAAGTGTATTTACCTAGGTATAATTACCTTTAGAGTCGATTAAGGCAGCGTGTGGGATGCTCTTGGACGCAGGTTCGAATCCTGGTCACGACCCTTGTGGATTTGTTCATTTGATGCATCACGTTATTGTGATTTCTGTGTGTACCTAAGTGTAGTTACAGGATGAGAGCTACGCTCGCGGTGTCCTATCTTCCCAGTACTTTTTGTCGTATAATGCTTTCAAACAACTGTCTATTTTAGCCTCCATAACTTTCTAATTTAACTTGTTACAACTGTCTGCCACTTGTGTGGCAGATACACACTTGTGCATCTACATTGGCTGATACTTATTTACCCCAAAGAACGGCTGAGTGTAGTTGGGAAGAGAGGTATTCTATCAACCTTAAAGGTAGATAGGTAGATAATGATATCTTAATTACACGAAATACTCACTTATTTATTATACGTTTGGCTGGATAGGTTACGTGAGGATAGGTAGGTTAGGTGAGAAAAGAGTGTTCATTTTTGTGATCGTTGTCCTCTGGTCTAATAGTCTTGTGTTATCTGACTTGTATATGTTTGTGCATTTATGAAAACGAATATTTCGTATTGTTATTTACACTATGTTGCAGGATATTCACAAATCAGATAAATTGAACACGGACCTTTTGTATGAGCAATGATAATTTTATGAACTAACTTAGGGCTAATGTTAGTTACATGTAAATATATAGTACATTATCATTCACAAACGAAGGTGAGATGGGCGTAAGGACCATTAAATATTCATGAGGTGCGCGGTCATGAAACAGGAAAGGAGTGACGCAGCGCATCAGCAAGGTCGGGAAGACAAGAGTATATAAAGAGTCGACGGCACACCACCAGCAGCTCAGACCTGGACTACCACCTTCCTGCATCAAACATGGTCTGTCTCTCTCCGTTCATTGTGATATCTCTCATAACTTTATATATTACCATTTTTGAATCATTATAAACAAACAGAAAAAAGTTTTGCTTCTCTGTCTAAATATAAAAGTATTATTTCTCTTTAATTTCACAGAAGGTGCTAGTGATCACCGTGAGCGTTGCCCTGCTGGTGGGATCCTCCTGGGCAGGCGGAGGACATGGAGGCGGTGGTGGGTTTGGAGGCGGCGGAGGTGGATTTGGAGGCGGCGGAGGAGGTTTTGGACACGGTGGAGGCGGCTTCGGAGGAGGCGGTGGATCTCGCTATGGTTCCGGTGGAGTTGGCTTCGGTGGAGGCGGCATCGGAGGTGGTGGATTCGGAGGATCCAAGGGCTTTGGAGGAGGTGGCAGCTTCGGTGGTGGCGGCCACGGTGGCGGTGGATCTCGCTATGGCGGCGGCGGCGGCTTCGGAGGTGGCGGCATTGGTGGTGGTGGCTTCGGCGGTGGCGGCTTCGGAGGAGGATCCAAAGGTTCCTTCGGTGGTGGCAGCATCGGTGGAGGCGGATTAGGCTCACTCGGCGGTGGGTCTCGCTATGGCGGCGGCGGCGGCTTCGGAGGTGGCGGCATTGGTGGTGGTGGCTTCGGCGGTGGCGGCTTCGGAGGAGGATCCAAAGGTTCCTTCGGTGGTAGCAGCTTCGGTGGAGGCGGATTAGGTTCATTGGGCGGGGGGTCTCGCTATGGCGGCGGCGGCGGCTTTGGAGGTGGTGGCTTCGGTGGTGGAGGCTTCGGTGGTGGTGGCTTCGGAGGTGGAGGATTCGGAGGAGGATCCCACGGCCGGCGATATGGATAAACGATGAAAGTGTTAATTTATAAACAAAAAATAAACTTCTGAATTTAGGAATTTCACGATTTTATGTCCTACTTAATAATTTAAAATTCTCTATGTCTCTCTTGCTTAGTGCCATTAGACTAAACTCACTCAGTTCAAACATGCTGTTCAATCCCTTCCCCGCCATTTCTACCACTGGCTTTGAAGAAAGCCTTTGTAATCTCAATTTGACCTAACAGTGTTTGAGATGGTGGCTCCATGCTTATAGTTAATCTTCTGCCGTGGTCGAACATAGGTGTATATTCCGTTTTAAAAGCAGCCTTCAAAGATAATGGAGGATTTAAGCTTCACATTTGCCGTTACTGTGATTTTATTTATGTACTGTTCCTCAAGAGAAACGAAGATTAAAACTAATGTACAAATCTAAAGGTGAGGAGAATGCAGGTGATCAAGATAGCAGAATGACAGAATGAAACGCAGACGAAGGCCTCTACTCAGTGAGGCAGAACAAACCCTGTACATCTCCAACGAAAAGTCAACACAAAACGAAAGGAACATTGAATGAAATGAGAGTGTGGAGGATGCACGGACAATATCTCAGCCCCTTAGGGACAATGTCAAGAGTTAAAATTGCTTTCACACAAGGCCAGAATCTTCGTAAATAAACATGACAAATTATGTACACACACTGAAGTTGAAACTCCACATAAGTGGGTTCAGCGAGAGTAGGTGGCGAGAACACATAACTAAAGGGGTATTCGATCTTCCAGAACAGCATCAACCTTTCATAAAGAACAGAAAGCAAGAGCAGATTGCTTGAATCTAAATATAAATCAAGACTTGAGTGCAACCATACACCAGGATTCATTTATCATGCAAAGATAAGAATTTGCAGGGTGCAATATTTAATTTAAAAAAAGTAGCAAACTGGCAGTGGGATTATGCTAAAGAGCAGACACAACTACAGCAGGAGAAGTTACAGATCTATATAATGTGATAAAAACTGCCGCTGAAGTCAATGCTTTAAAAATGGGGAATTTTAGCCACGAGTTAATTGACGGGGCGAATCCAACATCATAATTGGAAGGAGAATAAATTCTTGACCTAACACTTACTAAATCATATAAGAAACTTTGTTCATAAACAGTTGTACATTGCACTTGGTAAATTTTACACACAAATTGAGTTACATTAATTACTTGAAAGAGTCACAATAACATTATAGCACATAATCACATCATGAAATTATAGAGATATTAGCATACTCAAAGCCCTCTACATCAACAGATTCTGGGGCACACCCTGAAAAAAATAACTCCAGCACACAGCTCATTACACAAACATAATAAAGGTCTGAGTTTATTTGAACTCAAAATACCTGTCAATTCCCCAACTCTCCTGTCCCCTCGTCCTTTATACCAATCCCAACTCCCCTGTCCCCTTGTCCTACCCGACCATTACCTCCTCCCTCTATCCCCTGCTCCTCCCCACCATCCCCTACTTCCTTGTCCCCTTATCTTCCTACCATTACCCCCTCCCTAGTCCCTCGTCCTCCCTACAGTCCCCTATTCCAGTTCCCTCGTACTCCCAACAATTCCCCACTCCCTCGTCCGATGCTTTCACAAATAATTAAATGTTCTATAAGAAAAATTGGAACATCAAATGATCTGATGTTTCCATCACTGAAAAATAAGAACAGTTAAAAAATGAGAAAAAAAAATAAAATAAATTTACGAAATGAATAGTATGGTAAACAACACAGCTGAATTCCAATTCAATGTCACACAAAATAATTAAATCAAAATGGAAATCAATAGAAATCTATGAAAATTCAATTTATCAATGCAATCAGAAACACTGAAACGGATTCGTAACATATAGTATACTGTGTGTGTTGCTTTTGCATGCAACAGATAGCGCTGTTTTTCACAAAAAGAATGCTTTTATTTGTCACAGACGTGACATCAATCAAGTAGGTATAAAAACACGCTCGAAAGCAAATGGAATTTTGTGTCGAAATCTCAAATCAATCGGTAAAGAACATTCAGAGATTAGCGATTTTGAATAAACGCACATTTACATTTTTATTTTCATAGATAAATATATATGAATACTAATAAATTCATATTATATATATATATATATATATATATATATATATATATATATATATATATATATATAATATATATAATTATATATAATATATTACATATAAATTTATATTATATAAAAAATTTTATTACATATATTGATATAATTTTTTCAATATATATATAAATTGGTAACCACTATATCGTGGATAACATTTCATTCGTTTCGACGCTCAGAGCCTCAAAAAGTAGACCACATAGACAGTAGCCACTAACATCTATTTAATGGAAGGATTCCAGAGGAACCTATCTACTGCCCAATTGGAAATCTAGTCCTTCACGTGGGGTGCTACTTTGGCGTATAGGTGTTAGGTCATTCCCGTCTAGGTTATATAAGTTACTTAATAAGTGGCCAAGTGAATGATTTGTTGTTATCCACCAAGTGGTGGTATGCAATTTATAAGACTAGGAGGTGAATCACCTAACACTTACATGATAAAGAGGCACCAACCGGGAAGGCTTAATATTTCAACTGGGCAGCAGAATGGTGGCTCTAGAATCCTCCCTTTTAGAGGATTGGGTGTTGCTCACTAGGTCGAGTGGCTAATTATTGTCTCCGTGGTCAACGGTTCCAGGGTCCAAATGTCCAGGTGAATGAAATATAGACACATGCACTCACAGTTTATTGGGTATTGGGAATCACAGCTGAAGAGGAAAAGTTAATATTTTTGTGATCGTTGTCTTATGGTTTAATAGTCTTGTGTTATGTTTATGTCTGAGAGTGTTGTGTATGTTTGAGTGTTTATGAAAACAAGTATTTTGTATAGTTATTTGAGGTACGTAATAGGCAATTCACAAATCAGATTAATTGGACACGGACATTTTGCAATATTTACAGGGCTAATAATAGTTATATGTAATAACCTAGGGCTAATGATAGTTATATATAATAATTTTAGGCTAATGATAGATATATAATAACTTAAGGCTAATGACAGTTATATGTAATTACTTAAGGCTAATGATAGTTATATGTAATAACTTAAGGCTAATGATAGTTGTATAATAACCTAAGGCTAATGATAGTTAAATGTTATAATTTAAGGCAAATGATAGTTATATATAATTATTTACGGCTAATGATAGTAATATATAATAACTTTGGGCTAATGAGAGTTAAATGTAATAACTTAAGGCTAATGATACTTATATGTAATAACATATGGCTAATGATAGTTACATGTAAATATATAGTACATTATCATTAACAAACGAAAGGGAGTTGGGCATATGGATCTTTCAATATTCATGAGGTGCGCGGTCATGAAACAGGAAAGGGGTGACGCAGCGCATCAGCAAGGTCGGGAAGACAAGAGTATATAAAGAGTCGACGGCACACCACCAGCAGCTCAGACCTGGACTACCACCTTCCTGCATCAAACATGGTCTGTCTCTCTCCGTTCATTGTGATATCTCTCATAACTTTATATATTACCATTTTTGAATCATTATAAACAAACAGAAAAAAGTTTTGCTTCTATGTCTAAATATAAAAGTATTATTTCTCTTTCATTTCACAGAAAGTGCTGCTCATCACCGTGAGCGTTGCCCTGCTGGTGGGATCCTCCAGGGCAGGCGGAGTACATGGAGGCGGTGGTGGGTTTGGAGGCGGCGGAGGTGGATTTGGAGGCGGCGGAGGAGGTTTTGGACACGGTGGTGGCGGCTTCGGAGGGGCGGTGGATCTCGCTATGGTTCCGGTGGAGGTGGCATCGGTGGAGGCGGCATCGGAGGTGGTGGATTCGGAGGATCCAAGGGCTTTGGAGGAGGTGGCAGCTTCGGTGGTGGCGGCCACGGTGGCGGTGGATCTCGCTATGGCGGCGGCGGCGGCTTCGGAGGTGGCGGCATTGGTGGTGGTGGCTTCGGCGGTGGCGGCTTCGGAGGAGGATCCAAAGGTTCCTTCGGTGGTGGCAGCATCGGTGGAGGCGGATTAGGTTCACTCGGCGGTGGGTCTCGCTATGGCGGCGGCGGCGGCTTCGGAGGTGGCGGCATTGGTGGTGGTGGCTTCGGCGGTGGCGGCTTCGGAGGAGGATCCAAAGGTTCCTTCGGTGGTAGCAGCTTCGGTGGAGGCGGATTAGGTTCATTGGGCGGTGGGTCTCGCTATGGCGGCGGCGGCGGCTTTGGAGGTGGTGGCTTCGGTGGTGGAGGCTTCGGTGGTGGCGGCTTCGGAGGTGGAGGATTCGGAGGAGGATCCCACGGCCGGCGATATGGATAAACGATGAAAGTGTTAATTTATAAACAAAAAATAAACTTCTGAATTTAGGAATTTCACGATTTTATGTCCTACTTAATAATTTAAAATTCTCTATGTCTCTCTTGCTTAGTGCCATTAGACTAAACTCACTCAGTTCAAACATGCTGTTCAGTCCCTTCCCCTCCATTTCTTCCACTGGCTTTGAAGAAAGCCTTTGTAATCTCAATTTGACCTAACAATGTTTGAGATGGTGGCTCCATGCTTATAGTTAATCTTCTGCCGTGGTCGAACATAGGTGTATATTCCGTTTTGAAAGCAGCCTTCAAAGATAATGGAGGATTTAAGCTTCACATTTGCCGTTACTGTGATTTTATTTATGTACTGTTCCTCATGAGAAACGAAGATTAAAACTAATGTACAAATCTAAAGGTGAGGAGAATGCAGGTGATCAAGATAGCAGAATGACAGAATGAAACGCAGACGAAGGCCTCTACTCAGTGAGGCAGAACAAACCCTGTACATCTCCAACGAAAAGTCAACACAAAACGAAAGGAACATTGAATGAAATGAGAGTGTGGAGGATGCACGGACAATATCTCAGCCCCTTAGGGACAATGTCAAGAGTTAAAATTGCTTTCACACAAGGCCAGAATTTTCGTAAATAAACATGACAAATTATGTACACACACTGAAGTTGAAACTCCACATAATTGGGTTCAGCGAGAGTAGGTGGCGAGAACACATAACTAAAGGGGTATTCGATCTTCCAGAACAGCATCAACCTTTCATAAAGAACAGAAAACAAGAGCAGATTGCTTGAATCTAAATATAAATCAAGACTTGAGTGCAACCATACACCAGGATTCATTTATCATGCAAAGATAAGAATTTGCAGGGTGCAATATTTAATTTCAAAATAGTAGCAAACTGGCAGTGGGATTATGCTAAAGAGCAGACAAAACCACAGCAGGAGAAGTTACAGATCTATATAATGTGATAAAAACTGCCGCTGAAGTCAATGCTTTAAAAATGGGGAATTTTAGCCACGAGTTAATTGACGGGGCGAATCCAACATCATAATTGGAAGGAGAATAAATTCTTGACCTAACACTTATTAAATCATATAAGAAACTTTGTTCATAAACAGTTGTACATTGCACTTGGTAAATTTTACACACAAATTGAGTTACATTAATTACTTGAAAGAGTCACAATAACATTATAGCACATAATCACATCATGAAATTATAGAGATATTAGCATACTCAGAGCCCTCTACATCAACAGATTCTGGGGCACTCCCTGAAAAAAATAACTCCAGCACACAGCTCATTACACAAACATAATAAAGGTCTGAGTTTATTTGAACTCAAAATACCTGTCAATTCCCCAACTTTCCTGTCCCCTCGTCCTTTATACCAATCCCAACTCCCCTGTCCCCTTGTCCTACCCGACCATTACCTCCTCCCTCTATCCCCTGCTCCTCTCCACCATCCCCTACTTCCTTGTCCCCTTATCTTCCTACCATTACCCCCTCCCTTGTCCCCTCGTCCTCCCTACAGTCCCCTATTCCAGTTCCCTCGTACTCCCAACAATTCCCCACTCCCTCGTCCGATGCTTTCCCAAATAATTTAATGTTCTATAAGAAAAATTGGAACATCAAATGATCTGATGTTTCCATCACTGAAAAATAAGAACAGTTAAAAAACGAGAAAAAAAAAAAAAATAAACTAAAATTACGAAATGAATAGTATGGTAAACAACACAGCTGAATTCCAATTCAATGTCACACAAAATAATTAAATCAAAATGGAAATCAATAGAAATCTATGAAAATTCAATTTATCAATGCAATCAGAAACACTGAAACGGATTCGTAACATATAGTATACTGTGTGTGTTGCTTTTGCATGCAACAGATAGCGCTGTTTTTCACAAAAAGCATGCTTTTATTTGTCACAGACGTGACATCAATCATGTAGGTATAAAAACACGCTCGAATGCAAATGGAATTTTGTGTCGAAATCTCAAATCAATCGGTAAAGAACATTCAGAGATTAGCGATTTTGAATAAACGCACATTTACATTTTTATTTTCATAGATAAATATATATGAATACTAATAAATTCATATTATATATATATATATATATATATATATATATATATATATATATATATATATATATATATATATATATATATATATATATATATATATATATATATATATACATTTATATTAAATATATAATTATATTAAATATAAATTTATATTATATAAAAATTTTTATTACATATATTGATATAATTTTTTCAATATATATATAAATTGGTAACCACTATATCGTGGATAACATTTCATTCGTTTCGACGCTCAGAGCCTCAAAAAGTAGACCACATAGACAGTAGCCACTAACATCTATTTAATGGAAGGATTCCAGAGGAACCTATCTACTGCCCAATTGGAAATCTAGTCCTTCACGTGGGGTGCTACTTTGGCGTATAGGTGTTAGGTCATTCCCGTCTAGGTTATATAAGTTACTTAATAAGTGGCCAAGTGAATGATTTGTTGTTATCCACCAAATGGTGGTATGCAATTTATAAGACTAGGAGGTGAATCACCTAACACTTACATGATAAAGAGGCACCAACCGGGAAGGCTTAATATTTCAACTGGGCAGCAGAATGGTGGCTCTAGAATCCTCCCTTTTAGAGGATTGGGTGTTGCTCACTAGGTCGAGTGGCTAATTATTGTCTCCGTGGTCAACGGTTCCAGGGTCCAAATGTCCAGGTGAATGAAATATAGACACATGCACTCACAGTTTATTGGGTATTGGGAATCACAGCTGAAGAGGAAAAGTTAATATTTTTGTGATCGATGTCTTATGGTTTAATAGTCTTGTGTTATGTTTATGTCTGAGAGAGTTGTGTATGTTTGAGTGTTTATGAAAACAAGTATTTTGTATAGTTATTTGAGGTACGTAATAGGCAATTCACAAATCAGATTAATTGGACACGGACATTTTGCAATATTTACAGGGCTAATAATAGTTATATGTAATAACCTAGGGCTAATGATAGTTATATATAATAATTTTAGGCTAATGATAGATATATAATAACTTAAGGCTAATGACAGTTATATGTAATTACTTAAGGCTAATGATAGTTATATGTAATAACTTAAGGCTAATGATAGTTGTATAATAACCTAAGGCTAATGATAGTTAAATGTTATAATTTAAGGCAAATGATAGTTATATATATAATTATTTACGGCTAATGATAGAAATATATAATAACTTTGGGCTAATGAGAGTTAACTTAAGGCTAATGATACTTATATGTAATAACATATGGCTAATGATAGTTACATGTAAATATATAGTACATTATCATTAACAAACGAAAGGGAGTTGGGCATATGGATCTTTCAATATTCATGAGGTGCGCGGTCATGAAACAGGAAAGGGGTGACGCAGCGCATCAGCAAGGTCGGGAAGACAAGAGTATATAAAGAGTCGACGGCACACCATCTGCAGCTCAGACCTGGACTGCCACCTTCCTGCATCAAACATGGTCTGTCTCTCTCCGTTTATAGTGATATCTCTCATAACTTTATATATTACCATTTTTGAATCATTATAAACAAACAGAAAAAAGTTTTGCTTCTATGTCTAAATATAAAAGTATTATTTCTCTTTCATTTCACAGAAGGTGCTGGTGATCACCGTGAGCGTTGCCCTGCTGGTGGGATCCTCCAGGGCAGGCGGAGGACATGGAGGCGGTGGTGGGTTTGGAGGCGGCGGAGGTGGATTTGGAGGCGGCGGAGGAGGTTTTGGACACGGAGGTGGCGGCTTCGGAGGAGGCGGTGGATCTCGCTATGGTTCAGGTGGTGGTGGCGGCTTCAGTGGAGGTGGCATCGGTGGAGGCGGCATCGGAGGTGGTGGATTCGGAGGATCCAAGGGCTTTGGAGGAGGTGGCAGCTTCGGTGGTGGCGGCCACGGTGGCGGTGGATCTCGCTATGGCGGCGGCGGCGGCTTCGGAGGTGGCGGCATTGGTGGTGGTGGCTTCGGCGGTGGCGGCTTCGGAGGAGGATCCAAAGGTTCCTTCGGTGGTGGCAGCATCGGTGGAGGCGGATTAGGTTCACTCGGCGGTGGGTCTCGCTATGGCGGCGGCGGCGGCTTCGGAGGTGGCGGCATTGGTGGTGGTGGCTTCGGCGGTGGCGGCTTCGGAGGAGGATCCAAAGGTTCCTTCGGTGGTAGCAGCTTCGGTGGAGGCGGATTAGGTTCATTGGGCGGTGGGTCTCGCTATGGCGGCGGCGGCGGCTTTGGAGGTGGTGGCTTCGGTGGTGGAGGCTTCGGTGGTGGCGGCTTCGGAGGTGGAGGATTCGGAGGAGGATCCCACGGCCGGCGATATGGATAAACGATGAAAGTGTTAATTTATAAACAAAAAATAAACTTCTGAATTTAGGAATTTCACGATTTTATGTCCTACTTAATAATTTAAAATTCTCTATGTCTCTCTTGCTTAGTGCCATTAGACTAAACTCACTCAGTTCAAACATGCTGTTCAGTCCCTTCCCCTCCATTTCTTCCACTGGCTTTGAAGAAAGCCTTTGTAATCTCAATTTGACTTAACAATGTTTGAGATGGTGGCTCCATGCTTATAGTTAATCTTCTGCTGTGGTCGAACATAGGTGTATATTCCGTTTTGAAAGCAGCCTTCAAAGATAATGGAGGATTTAAGCTTCACATTTGCCGTTACTGTGATTTTATTTATGTACTGTTCCTCATGAGAAACGAAGATTAAAACTAATGTACAAATCTAAAGGTGAGGAGAATGCAGGTGATCAAGATAGCAGAATGACAGAATGAAACGCAGACGAAGGCCTCTACTCAGTGAGGCAGAACAAACCCTGTACATCTCCAACGAAAAGTCAACACAAAACGAAAGGAACATTGAATGAAATGAGAGTGTGGAGGATGCACGGACAATATCTCAGCCCCTTAGGGACAATGTCAAGAGTTAAAATTGCTTTCACACAAGGCCAGAATTTTCGTAAATAA